CTCCTCTCCTCCCTCCCCTCTCTCCCGCCTCGCGCCTCACTTCGTCCTGCTGTGCCTCTCTTGCTTCCTCATGCTCTCGCGCCCCTTCCCTACTCCCTCCTCTCGACCCGACCTCCCTTTCTCCGCTCTTACCTCTTCCCCTCGCCCGTTCGTCACCATCTCTCCGTCCCTCCCCCGTACTCCCTCTGCTCTCCCTCACCCATCTCTCTCTCTCTCCCTCCTGTTGCTCCGTCTCTCTCGCCCCTCGCCCTTCTCCCTCTCTGGCCCTCCTCCTCCCTCTCTCCCCCTCCCCTTCTCTGCTCTCTCGCGCCCTCTCCTTCTCTTTCTCTGGCCCTCTCTTTAATCCCTCTCTCCCTCTCTTCCCCCTCCCCTACTTCCTACTCTAGCCCTCCCCTACTTTCCTCTCTGGCGCCTTCCCCTGTCTCCCTCTCTCCCCCTTCCTCTACTGCTGCCCTCTCTCTCGCCCTACTCCCTCTCCTCCTCCCTTCCGCTCCTGTCCCCAGTAGCTCCCCCCCCCCTCCTTTCCACGTCCCCCCTACCCCCCTCAAACTCCCTTCCCTCCACCTCCTACATGTCCCTCCTTAGTTCCGCCCCCTCCCCCTATCCCCCATCGCCTCATGATTCTCGAGAGAGCCTTTCTCATGCCTCATAACCTGCCCCCGCACATGGGAGCTGGGAAAGCACTCTCACGCAGAAGACAATGGCATTTTTCTGCTGTTTAGGAAATTGCGTGCGTCCCCTTTCTCGCTCTCTCTCTCTCTGTCTGTCTCTCTTCCTCACTTTTCTCTCTTTCTCTGTCTGTCCTGTCTGTTTCACTCTCTCTCTTCTCTGTCTCTCAGTCTCACTTTCTCACTTTCTCTCTCTTCTCTCTTTCTCTGTCTCTCTTCTCTCTCTCTCTCTCTCTCTCCTCTCTCTCTCTCTCTCTCTCTCTCTCTCTCTCTCTCTCTCTCTCTCTCTATATATATATATATATAATATATATATATATATATATATAGATATCTGTCTGTCTGTCTCTCTCTCTCTCTCTCTCTCTCTCTCTCTCTCTCTCTCTCTCTCTCTTCTCTCTCTTCTCTCTCTCTCTCCTCTCTCTCTCTCTCTCTCTCTCTCTCTCTCTCTCTCTCTCCCTCTCCCTCTCCCCTCCCCCTCCCCCTCCCCCTCCCTCTCCCCCTTCCCTCTCCCTCTCCCTCTCCCTCTCCCTCTCCCTCTCCCTCTCCTCTCCCTCCCTCTCCCTCTCCCTCTCCCTCTCCCTCTCCCTCTCTCTCTCTCTCTATCTTCTTTCTCTCTCCTCCAGTTGTCTATATGCGTTATTTTATACTGAATTAGATTATCAGATTATTCATATATCTTTATTTCCTCAGCTCCAATATCTAGCCTCGCAATATTCAGGAAAAATACTGTACTTGTCATAATTTCGAGATGAATTTTGTCCATTGTTGTATACAGAATGCAGTGACAAAAGACCACACTCCGGCATTTTGTTCAAGACACACGCACATAATACACATGTACGTACACGCTCACACATACAGACCTACGCGCGTACGTACAGAAAAACGCACACGAAAAAACAGTGGTAAAAAACACGTAATGTAAACGTGCTACAAGGTACTACTAACACACAGTGACACTAGTTCATACGCCACTCACGCACCACATACACACACACACACACACACACACACACACACACACACACATACACACACGGATATCACACACACACACACACACACACACACACACACACACACACACACACACACACACACACACACACACACACACACAACTCCCCCACCCACCCACACACAACACGCGCGCACACACACACACATACGCACATATACACACACGCATGCATACAGCCATGTGTACAATTGCCTTTCGCATACACACAAAAACTTCCAAAAAGACGAAGGGTTATTTCCCAGTATCATTCGCCAAATAATCACTTAATGGGCGTGTTCTTTTCTTAAAATTCAAGTACAAAATGAAGATAATTTTCTAACCCTGCAAAAAAAAAAAAAAAAGTATTAAAATGTATAATAGCGATTAGGTTTTTTTCTTGTCATTTCAAAACTTTTTCTAAAGAAATGAGGAGCAGCATCTTATTTCACGTTAAAAAGCTCTAAATAAGATTTTCTAGAAAGTAAAATTTTGTAAAGAATAGCAAAATATCTTTCTGTCTCTGTCTTCTCTCTCTCTCTTCTCTCTCTCTCTCTCTCTCTCTCTCTCTCTCTCTCTCTCTCTCTCTCTCTCTCTCTCTCTCTCTCTCTCTCTCTCTCTCTCTCTCTCTCTCTCTCTCTCTCTCTCTCTCTCTCTCTCTCTCTCTCTCTCTCTCTCTCTCTCTCTCTCTCTCTCTCTCTCTCTTTCTATCTATCTCACAAACATTTACCATTTGCATTCACAAATGACAGAAAAAAAAATCATCAAAAAAGAAAACTTCATAATAATCCATTTTTAACATTTTTCCGTTCTCAGCCTTTTTCCAAAATGT